ATCTTCTTTCTTCTCTTCTTCTTTCTTCTTCTTCTTCTTCTTTCTTCTTCTTCTTTCTTCTTCCTTCTTTCTTTTTTTCTTTCTTTCCTCCTTTCTTTCTTTCCTCTTTTCTTTCTTTTTTTTCTTTCTTTCTTTTTTAAATCAAACTTGGAAAATACTTGGCCAATATTTCTCCAAATATTTTTTTCTGCCCTGTTCTCCCCTCTCCTTCTGGAGCTGTAGTTGCTCATTTGTTCAAACATTTGATGCTGTCTCACAAATCACTGAGGCTCTGTTTATTGTTTTTCAACCTTTTTTCCCCTCTGTGCTTCAGTTTGGATTATTTCTATTGAACTGTCTTCCAGTTCACTGATCCTGTCCTCTTCTTTATCCAAACCACTATGATATTTTCTAATGAATATTTTAAATTTTCTGATATTGTATTTTTCAGTTCTAGAATTTCCTTTTGTTTTCTCAATAGTATTCCTATTTGTTCTCAAATTCCCCGTCACTTCACACATTAAATACACCTTTTCTTATAGATTTATCACATTTATTATAGTTATTTTGATGTTCCTTTCTGCTAATTTTGGCATCTGGTTCATTTGTCACTTTGTTTTTATCAACTGATTTTTCTCTTCACTGGGCTACATTTTTCTGTCTCTTCACATGTCTTAACAGTTTTTGTAAAAAATTTTGTTTGTGCATGTGTCTGTGCTACTCTTTATGTTTTATTGGGCAGGGATCCATTTCCAATTACATAATTTATTTTCTCTCAGAGTTATACTAGAATTGAGTGGGATCATGTTTAAATAAAACATACAAAATAACAGCTATAAAACTATTGAAACTTGACTAAATATTCTGACAAACATTCACCTAATGGATGAAGAACAAAATCAAAAACACTCCATAAAAACCAACTATACCATTTGTTGGGATTGGATAGCCTTTTCAAGAAGAAAAAAACTTTTTTCTCAGAATTCCAGCTACTGCTTTCCCCTGGGCTTCCTGGAGTCTCACCCATTGTTTCAGGGTTTAAATGTCAGCCAAGGACTGGAGTCGGGGCTCCTGTCTAAGTCTGCTTCTGTCTGGGGTTTCCCCTTTCAGTTTCCAACCACTCTGGCAGGTCTGACATCCATGCTCTGACCCCTCAGTCCGGTATGACTGCAGCTTTCTGCTCGAGCTCCCTGAAGTGCCCCAGCACAATGTGCAGGCTGGGCACTGCCCTCACATGAAAAGCTGGACAAGATGCTATCACTTGTGTGGATGCCATCTTTCAAGAGTCAAATCCCCTCTAGTTTTTCCCTGATTTGGGTCATTTTCCAGTACCTTACAACAGTTCTTTTTTTCTTTTTTTCTATTTTGCACAGAGTTTGTAATTAGCTTTGGTATGATAGCACAAAACAAGCTACTCCAGCATTACCCTAAGTCAGAAGTCTCCTGCTTAGTTGTTTTAAAAGTGAGGATAATACTTCATAGGTTTCTTTTTCCTCTGTGCAAGAACTAAATAGGAATATACATGTAAGATGCCTGGCATAGACAAATATTCAGGAAATATTAGTTTCCTTCTCTTTACGTTGAATTGGCATCGGCTTCCTTGCATCTTCCCCTCATTAGCCCTTGCTTTGCTCTCTGGCTCCAACCTGTATGGGAGAATTTGTTTCCCATGTGGCAACTCATCAGGGATTTGATGACAGAAATCATCTCCTGTACCTCCAAGTCTCCTTTACCTTCAGGCCAAAAACTCCAGTTCTTCCTGCCATCTCTCGGGTCATAGTTTTATCTCTGGAGAACTTGGAGTGTCTTTAGCCATCTTATTTCTTCACTGAGGCGTCTCCTAAGTTTCAAGCTTCAGTTTTACCATTTATAATTGCTACAATTTTAACAAGTCAACTTACCTTCTGAGTTTCAATATCTCCATTTGGAAAATGGCATAATAACCCCTACCTAGTTTGTGCCTTACAAATTCAGATGTCTGAAACTTTAGCTACTGTTGGCAGGAGAGTCTGAGAAGAGCCCTCCACTGTCCAGGTTTCTGCTGGCACTGATGGAGAGGTTTAGGCTCCCTTCCTCTGATTGTTTTGGTGGTGAGGAAGAAGAAGAGAAACCATAATTCAGGCTCTCTCCACCAGAGAGCTGGCTGGTTTTCTCTTGACTTACCAAAGGCAATCACATCTTCCTGTTGCAAGTTTCACTTTTCTCCCAAAGACCACACAGCCTAATCTCACCTGAGAGATGCATGCTCTTCCTGTGATTATAACTGACCCTATTCTTTACAAAATAACCCTGGTCTTATGCCATAGAAGTGTTTTCCAACTTCTTGAGTGTCTTTGTCTGAAATACTGGGATCAAATAATACATCCCCCCAAAGTTTCTCTCTTGACTCAAGTTTCTTTCGAGGGAAAGAGACTGGCAGTGACTTGTGTTTTCTCCAAACGACAGACAAGCAACAGCAAAGCTATAACAATTCCTTTACAAACTGTAAAATCCTTCTATACATGAATAGAGTGATCATAAATTGGATAATTTTTTATACAAAGCAGGATACTTTTGAGAGGAAAGGGGCACGATCAATAATTATGTCATGCTTGTCCCAGGAATATTGGAATGTATATGGCATTGTGCTGTTATGTGCCATAGGGCCTGACTTCCTATAATACTTCCTGATTCTTGAGGGAAAATGTTAGGTAACAATCAATTACTAAAAACACAGGCAAAGAGCCCTTTTCTTCATCCTTTGTTAGAAACTTCTTTTCTAGGAACTCTATCACTGCGGGCCCGCACCCTAGTAGTGCAGGGGGCTTAAACATGATCGCCCATGCAGAGCTACAGGGAAAAGGACTGATGTGGTCACTCTTGCCTGAAGCATGCTCTCAGCTTTAGAGGCAAAGACTTGAGCTCAGATCACCTTCTTGCAAGTCAAGGACTCACCGCCCCTCATTGAGCTGCATCCTGCCTGGCTAATATCTGTTTACTCACACAGCTTCCTCAAAAGGTCACTGCCTTCCCCCAGAGGTGCTGGTTT